GGCAACAAGGGCGTGTCACCACTACAGGGTGCGAAAGGGGCAGCATCAACGAGCACAACGTCGTTGTACCGCCGCAAACACGAACGCTTTGTGCTCACCTGCTCTTTGCGTCGAGTTCCCGGGCGGCGAGACGAACAACCTGGCGCGATGCGCTCAGCTCAGCAGCGTAATCGGCAAGGCGGAACTGGAGGGCCTGGAAGTCAGAGATCTTGCTGCCAAACTGCTTGCGCTCGTTCATGTACTCCACCGTCTGCAGCAGCGACGCCTGCGCCCCGCCAACGCTGCAGGATGCAATGTTGATGCGACCTATTGCAGGTGTGTATGTGTGGGGGGGGAGGGGGCGTGTGTGTGTGTGTCAGTGGACGTGTGTGCACGTTGGTGTTGAGGGTGGGAGAATGAGACCCGACATGGTAGGATGAATGGAGCGCATGAAAGCAACACATGCTGATCCGTTCAGGCCCCTGCTTTGTGCCACACCTCCGTTGATGCCGTCCATGGCAATGTTGAAGCCGCGGCCGACACCTTCCTCGCCACCGAGCACGCTGCTTGCAGGCACGCGCACATCCTCCATGATCACCATCCGCGTCGGCTGCGAGTTCCAGCCAAGCTGCGCAGACAGGAAGAGGGTCGTGTGAATGTGTGTGTGTGTGTGTGTGTGTGTGTGTGTGTGTGTGTGTGTGTGTGTGTGTGTGTGTAGAGGTCGTGAATGTGTGTGTGTGTGTGTGTGCAAGAGAGACAGAGAGAGAGAGAGATGGAGAGAGTAGTTGGGACAAGGGGGGGGGGGTTCTTGCAAGTGTGTGCATCACGCTGACCTTGCGTTCCTTGGCGCCAAAGGTGAGGCCGTCATCACGGTTCACGATAAAGCAAGAGATGCCCTTGGGTCCTGTCATGAATATGGAAGTAGATGTGATCGCGTGTGGGTGTGTGTAGGTGTGTGAATGTGCGTGAATGTGCGTGTGTGATTGTATCAGCCCTTGGTTGCACTGTTCTCACATTCCATCCCACCCACCACCACTATCACGCAATCACATCCACACCCGCATGCGGCTGAAACCCACCTGGCTCGCCGGTGCGCGCCATGATCAGATACACGTCCGTGTCGCCGCCGCCGCTGATGAAGGCCTTGCTGCCGTTGAGAATGTAGTCATCGCCTGCATTGCAACGTCACCACAGGCCGGCATGAGCAAGGGAGCCGGGAGCCGACACTGGCATCACAATGAACAAGCAGGCGAGAGAGAGAGAGCACAGCACTCACCGTCCTTCTTGGCTGTGGTGCGCAGGGCAGCTGCGTCGCTGCCGCTGCCGGGCTCCGTCAGACAGTAGGAGCCCATTTGCTGTCGATGCAGCGTTGACGCGAGGATGGTGCCGGGTGATGAGGAACGTGTGAGAAGGTGTGGGGAGGGGTTGATGGGAGGAGGGATAACGTTGGTTGTGCGTGAGGATGCAGTAGATACAGTACAGACAGGGTTGTCACCTCCATTGAAGCGAGGGCAGGCACGAACGTGGACCGCTGCTCCTCTGTGCCAAACTTGTCAATCATCCATGCACACATGTTGTGGATACTCAGGTACGCCGTTGTGCTGTTGGTTTGAGTGGGGCGATGGATGTGATGGTGAGTGTGTGTGTGTTGTGTGTTGTGTGTGTGTGTGTGTGTGCGTGCGTGTGTGTGTGTGTGTTGTGTGTGTGTGTTGTGTGTGTGTGTGTGTGTGTTGTGTGTATGTGTGAGTGTGTGTGTGTGTGTGTGTGTGTTGTGTGTGCAAAAGCTGGGACGGTTGCGTTCGTCTGTCTTGGTCCTGCACTATCGGTGTTACCTGGTGCAGCCGTGGGAGAGGGCCTCGAAGATGAGGCTGGCATCCATTCGGCTCATGCCACTGCCACCGTACTCCTTTGGAAAGGTGGTTGCAAGAGAAAGCCAGGGTGTGGCAGGATGAGTGAAGTGCGTGCACATATGAGTGCTCACGTGAACGAAGGGACGCTCACACGCACGCACACACGCATGCACAAGCATGGATTCACACGCACACACACAAGCACATGCACACACACAAGCACATGCACACACACAAGCACATGCACACACACAAGCACATGCACATGCACGTGCGCACCGACGAGGCGTAGATGGCACCAAGGCCAAGGCCAGCAAGCTGCCGCAGCGTTTCGACGGGGAACTCCTCCTTCTCATCCCAGTCTTGCATGTAAGGCAGCATCTCGCGGTAGGCAAAGCTGCGGCACATCTCCAGCACATCCAACTGCTCCTCGTTCAGACCAACATGCGCTGTGTGTGTGTGTGTGTGAGCGACGAAGCACGCGTGTGGGCACAAACACTGGTACGAAGCACACGCGTCCACGCACACAGCCAACGACGCTACTCACTGCTATCAAGGGCGACGGAGGACGCTGCACGGTGCGTTCGTTGCAGGGCAAATGCGAGAGCAGCGCTGCCTTGACCACCTGCCATTCGTGAGGCATGGTGGATCAAGGCAGGCGACACGCCGCGAACACAGCGACCAACAAGTTGCAACATCATCTGGGGTGGTGCAGGTGATGGTGGCGGGAAATTCGAAAAATGGCTTTGTGTGTGTGTGTGTCTCTGTGTGTGTCTGTGTGTGTGTGTGTGTCTGTGTGTCTGTGTGTGTGTGTGTGTGTGCGTGTGTGTGTGTGTGTGTGCTTGTGCGCTTGTGAGAGAGAGAGAGAGAGAAAGAGGCAGCAGTGTCGCAGGGTGCAAGCTGAAGAGTTGAGGTGTTGGCTGGGTGAGCACATGCAGTACCGCAGTAGCCTGCAGCACGCATCGCGTAGATGGCCAAATGCAAGAATGCACAGAGGCACAGTGCACAAGCAGGAAGTCTAGAAGTCTGTGCACTGCAGGATGCCACAGCTCTACAGCTCGGTAGTGCTTCGGCTCTTCTTTCTTCTCTGCTTCTCCGCTTTCTGTTCCTTGTGCTTGTGCTTGCGCTTGCGCTTCTTCTGCTTCCGCTAGCTCTCTTCCTCTCCCCCTTGTCCTCCTGTCGGCCCTGTGACCGACCCGGCTTTTCAGTTTACAGTCTTCGCTGCGCAGGAAGTTGGATGTTGAATGCATGCGATACTAGGGACAGGGATGCTGTGCTGTGCAAGCAGTCGCAGTCGGTGGCGTGAGAACAGTGATGCACACACACGGAGGGTGGAAAAAAAATGTATGCGATACTAGCTGTGCTGTGCAAGCAGTCGCAGTGGTGGTGCAGAGCAGCACACACATACACGCACACACAGGGCGTTCAGAAAAAAAATGAATGCGATACTAGCTGTGCTGTGCAAGCAGTCGCAGTGGTGGTGCAGAGCAGCACACACATACACACACACACAGAGCGAGGAGAAAAAAATGAATGCGATACTAGCTGTGTTGTGCAAGCAGTCGCAGTGGTGGTGCAGAGCAGCACACACATACACGCACACACAGAGCGTTCAGAAAGAAAAAAAATGTATGCGATACTAGCTGTGCTGTGCAAGCAGTCGCAGTGGTGGTGAAGAGGAGCACACACGAAGCAGCACACACAGAGCGTGGAGAAAAAAAATGAATGCGATACTAGAGACAGGGTTGCTGGAGGAAGAACAGTGATGCAGAGCAGCACACACACACACACACACACACACACACACACACACACACACACACACACACACACAGAGCGAGGAGAAAAAAAATGAATGCGATACTAGACCGGCGCTATAACCAACTAAGCCACGAGCCCCAATCAGGTGAGGGCCCGGTGAGATTCGAACTCACGGCCTCCGGTTTTCTGTGTATCTTCAACCCGTAACCTTGCGGCTACCGGGGTTTTCTTGTTGTTGTGTGGTGGAAAATTGGCCATTTCAAAATTGCAGGTGGAGAAGGAGCGGGCTTTGTTGTTCTCGCGCCAACATTCTGCTTGCTTCTTGTGACTTGTGAGAGAATAAGAGCTTAAGAGGCGAGGAGGATGAACACAGGGCAACAGAACTCGTGAACCGTACGAGCGTAGGGCTAGGCTGTCTCCTCTCAGAAGCATCCACCCAGGTCTCCAATGTGCTGCAAACCAAGCAACCAACCACCAACCACCACAATCACCGCACACAACCGCAAGGGGGAAAGAACCCACGTCAAAGGCACACCATCATGATGCCACGTAGGCATGTGACTCTCTGACTCTTGTGACTGGAGAGCTGTCTTCTCTTGCTGTCTTGCTGTGATGTGGTCAGTCAGCGTAGCAGCTTGGCTTGAAGGCAGGCTTGGGCTTGGGGTGAACCTGCAGGAGTGAAGGTCTGAAGGTGCGTTCTAGCTGCTGCCACACGGCTGCCTGGCTGCTGCCCTTGACGTGTGCTTGAGTGTTTTCCCTTTGTTTCATCCCCTTCAAAGAATATCCCTTCTATTATGCTACGGTGGCTGTCACACAGGCCTCAAGGCACTGCTGGCACCAGACAAACAAACAAGCATGATCACTTCATGCAACAGGAACAAGGCTCCTGCTCGCTTGCTTGGACTGGGGAAGAAGTGAAGAAGTGAGTGCGCGAGGAACGGAAAGGAAGGGAAGGACGTGGAGAGACTGACATCAACGTCATGTGGGCTACAGCGGCTTACCAATCACAGCGATGAGCAAGGAGACCAGAAGCCAAGAACAACAAGAAAGAAGCCAAGAAGAGCAAGAAAAAGAAGAAACGTCAGCCTCAAACAAGCATGAGCCATATGCACAACCTAAACACACACACGCACACGCACACACGCACACGCAAGGAGAATCTTGTTCCTTCTTCGCTTGACGGCTATGCCGCTGTGCTGCCCAGCTCGCATTTCTTCGCCTGTTGCACAAGCTTCAGGGCGTGGCCCATTGCCACACCGGACGCCCGAAGTGTCTGCATGGTCAGCTCGCCCATCTGAACGAGCCCAACAAGCACATCCAGCGAGTCGATGCCGTGCTCCAGCAACGCTGGTTCGACGTGCGGCAGTAGGGAGTGGCGGTCGAGCCACTGCAACAGCTCGGGTTCAAAGAGCGACGAGGCGGAAGAGGGCGATGGGGTGGTAGGCGGCGGTGGAGCAGGAGTTGTCGCGGTGGTGGTGGTGGAGGATGAAGAAGACGACTGCAGGGCAGGGAAGCAAGTGGGTGGGTGAAGCAGAGCGTGAGCGTCGAGTGGAAGAAGAGGAAAGGAAGAGAGTTCGCCTGCATGCATGCATGCATGCATGCACACACCATACCTGCGTGGATTGACGTGCAGTTGCTGCTCCACTCCCTGCTTGCTCCTCACTCCTGGCAGAGACGACGACCTGGCGCACCTTCTCCGCAATGTCGCGCAATTGCGACGTGCAGTCCCCAGTGGCGTCCAATGCAACCACGGCATCAATGTCCAACAGCGACAGCACAGTCTCACGTACACTCTTGTGTTGTTGTGGCGGCGGCAAGCGCAGCACCTGCGACAAGTACTGGTCCAGTGCTGCTGCCGTTTCCTTGCTCACAACATCTGGCAGGGACTTCGCAAGTCGCTTCAGGCGCTCCAACGAGTCGTACTCGCTCACTTCAGTCCTGCTCACGCTGTTGTCGTTTACATTGTGCCATGCGCTGCCCACGACCACGGGTACGACGCGATGGAGGCGGATCTTGGCGTGCTGCTCCTTCTCATCTTCTTCATGAGCCCGTTGGTACTCGCGCAGCGCCAGCATCGTCATCCACTCCAGCAGCACGTTGTCGCAGTAGTCGCTGTGCTGCAGCTGCCTCGTCTGCATGATGGTGGCAGCAGAGACGATGGGGCAGGCCACCAGGCTCAGCCCAATCGCTGTCATGAACGACAACTTGAAGTTGAGGCCCGTCTCCAGGTTATTGGCGTCCAGGAATGCGATCAGGTTGCGCTGCTCCAAGCGCGGGTGCAGCGCCATCACCAGCCCACTGCTGGCGCGTTGCCTGTTGTGGTTGCGGGAGAGGGGGGGGGGTTGGAGGAGGTAGTGATGAGATGAGGGGAAGGTGCATGCAGTAGTTGTGGCTAGTTGGTGGAAGTGACAGACACATAGTTGCACGCACACACACACACACACACACACACACACACACACACACACACACACACACACACACACACACACCTCACCGGTAGCTGATGAAGACGTCGTACTTGTCCTGCAGGCCGAGAACGGGCAAGAGAGGGCCATACTTGGTGACCAGGTCATCGGGCGACAGCAGTTGTTCGTCCACCCACATGTCCTGCTTGCTCTTGTGGTGGTGCAGCACGTCCTCAAAGAAGAGCAGCGTCTTGTCATCGTACGGCAGCAGGAGGCTGCTCTTCAGCTCAGGATAGCGCTCTCTGGCGGCCTCGCTAATCATCTTGTGCAGCATGTGCAGCATGGCGCGCGGCTGCGCACTCGTGATCTTCATCTTGATGCCGCCAACAGCCGGCACAAGCTGCAGCTCTAGCTTGGTCGACTCCATGAAGCAAACGGCGTGGGTGCGGCTCAGCTTGGCCTCCTGCGATGCACCGTGCTGTGCATGCGCCATCACATAAGCCAGAACAATGGTGAAGAGACCCTCTGGCAGGAACGACGCGTTCTGTGCATCTTCAACACGCACGCTCGCGGCCTTCTTGAATTGCTTCAGGCTGAAGGCGACATATGCCGTCTTCTCCTCGTGCCCAGCATATGGGTTGACCTGTTGTGCTGCTGTCGTGCTCAGAGTGACAGATTCCATCGTGCTGCTGTGGCGAATGGTCATCGGCAGGATGGCTGGGACCAGGTACTGCTGCTGCTCTGGACTGTTGCCCTTGCTCTGGCTCGCATCGTTGTCACCGTGGCCGGAGTTGGTGCGGGCGAGCGCTCTGCTGCTGTCCACCAGCTTGGGTGGAGAGTAGTCAATGCACAGCCCGTAGTTCATCATGAGGCGCAGGAATGGGTCAACCAAGTTGCTGTCCACGTCGTTCCACAGCACGTCCAGCAGACGGCGGTGCAGGATGCCGCGGTCAACGAGGTCGTCCCACAGTTGCGCGCCAACGGCCCTCGCCTCGCGATCACGCACATCGCGGTGCAGGTCAAAGTTGCGGATGACGCGCGTCATCGTGTCCACCGCCCACTGCGGACTCAGGATCACATAGTCTTCCATGCCTGGCACGTGATCGTAGTACAACGCCATCGAGTACAAGTGCAGGAACTGGAGGCAAGCCCTCGTCTCGTCATGTGTGCGCAGCCCACAGGTGCGCGCAATCTCTGCCACCTCGTCAAAGGTGAGCAGCGGTCGTTTCTCGTCGCGGGCAATGGCGTTGAGCTTGTCGTAGAGGTGGAGGTACGGCACAGCCACCTCCTGGCTCACGTATTCCTGCGCCAGTGCTGTGGAGGAGATGGTTTGGCGCAGGTCCTGGATCATGGGGTCATTAATAGACTTGGTGTTGTCGATGGGCCAGAACCACAGGCCGTGCTTGTCGTTGTGGATGACGCCAGGAAAGGCCGGGTTGTGGCGCAGGCGGCTGTAGATGTCGCGTGATATGTGCTCGTGCTGCTTACGCTTGCTGATCACATCAGCGAAGGTGCCGACGATGTGGACGGGTGCACCCTTGGCGTGGAGGTGGAGGGAAGACAACCAGTGCTCCATAAACTCCCACGTCTCTGTCCGCTTGCTCTCGTCCTGGTGCAGCAGATCCTCCATGGAGAACACCAGCAGGTACACCGCGTACCTGTTGGGTGGGTGAGGGTGTCGGGGTGAGGGAAGGTGTGGCGGTGGACAGGGGGCAGAGCACACACACATACACGCACACACACACGCACACACACACACACACGCGCGCGCGCGCACACACAACCTGTACTCACTTGGTGAGGAAGAAAGGGTGAAAGATGTAGAAGGTGGACTGGCCGCCCAAGTCAAACACCTTGAACGTGACACGTGCTTTGCCCTCGCCCATGACGGCGTCCACGTTGAACTCCTTGATCGCTTTCTCCATTTCCTCCGCAGACATGCCGGTTGCGGCGGTGGTGCTGTTGTCACGCGCAGCAGCATCACTGTGGCTGGAAGGGTTCACGGTGGCTTGCTTCTTGGGCGCAGATGCTGACATCTGAGACGTCTTGCTGGGCTTTGGGACGGTCGATGTCGACGTGTGTGAGGATGGCTGTGGCTGTGTCTCCTTTGAATTCTGTAACTGCTTCTGCTTCAGCTTGGCAGCCGTTGCTTTCTTTGCCTTCTCAGCTTCCTTCTGCCGCTGTTGCTGTTTGTGTTGGGCAATGCGGCTCTCAAAGTTCGCCCTCGCCTTCATCATCGCCTGCTTCATTTGCAAGTCCACGCCCGATTCCTGCGCCAGCGCCGTGCCGCAGAGGCTGCGCATCAATTCCGAGATCTCCGCATCCAGCTCCTGCAAAGGTTGTGTGTGTGTGTGTGTGTGTGTGTGTGTGTGTGTGTGTGTGTGTCATCGTGTCACTCACAACACCCCTCTTCTTCACACGCGCACGCGCGCCACACATTCCATACACGCACCAGCAAGGGTACACACCTGCCAGTTGTGAATGTCCATGGATTCGACAATGACGGCGAGGTCGGTTGTGGCAGCGCCAGGCGTGGAGTGCTCGTGCTCGTTGAAGTTGTGACCCATGAGCGAGTGGAACGTGGAAGTCTTGCCGGCGCGCCCCTGACCAATGAAGATGAGCTTGGCCCTGCCCGCCATGGTCGCGTTGAAGCGCACAATGATCTCTCGCATGTGCTGCTGAAGACGCTCCCTGCGCCCCTGCTCGGGCTGGAGGCAGAGCAAGGCATGGTGTGTGACATGGTGGCGTGAGTGAGCAAGCGACAGTATGTTGGGAACCGAGCACGAAGAGCATGAATAACGTGAGTAGTGCCATGCACATGCACATATGTTACTTGCATGGCAGGAACATCTCTGATCACTCACGTCTTGTGCTGCTTCTTGCTTGGGTTCGACGGAAGAGATGGGTGCAGATGCGTCTTCAGTCTTCTTTGGCTGCTGTTGTGGTTGTTGCTGGGGTTTGCTGTCTGGGTCAAGACCTTGGATGCTGGTGATGGCGTGGAAATTGCGTTTCTGCGCCACCATGAATGGTGTTCCGCCCTGTGAATAGTTGAGGTGTGGACAGAGTGAGCGAGCACAGAAACAGTGCACGGTCAAAAACAACTGCAATTGTGCAACGAAGTCGTCGCACCCACGGCACTCGCGCGCACCCTGATGTTCTTGATGGTAGCGTCTGCGCCCTTCTCCAGGAGCAGCTGCACAATGGCGGGTTGGTTGTGCCTGCAGGCAACGTGCAGCGGTGTGTCGCCCTGTGGTTGGATGATGGACAGTGGGAGTGGGGAAAAGGGCAAGTGGTGAGAACCATGGCAGCGAACACACAACTCGCTGCAAGAACAAACCACCCGCTTCACAAGCACGAGCACACATATGCACATGCACCTGTTCATCCTGTTCGTTGATGTCCGCGTGGTCGTGTTGAATGAAAGAAGTGACAGCTTCGACGTCGCCGCTCTTGCAGGCAGCAAACAGTTGCCTCTGCTGTTGTTGCTGTTCATTGTCTGCAGCTGCTTCCGGTCGCTGATGTTCCGCTTCCGGTCGCTGTTCGTCTTGGTCGTTGTGCGTGGTGTCGCGTTGTTGCTTCTTCTTCTCCTCGCGCGCTTCGTTGAAGGCCGCCTCGCCCTCCTGGTCATCGTACCTGTCATGCCACAAAGATGGGACGGGGCCAGAACGAGAATATGAGAGGACAAGGGGCAAGAAACGGGAGGGGGCGAACGGTCGCAAGGGCAAACAAACGTTGACCGACCAGTTGCCTGTGTCGAGCTCGCGGTCGAGGGGCAGGGCGGCACCAAAGGCACGGGCGGTGGTAGTGGAGTTCTTCTTCATACTGAACGGGACACGTGGTGGAGGTGGGTTAAAGAGGAGGAAGTGTAAAGGACATGGGTCAGGAGGGTTGGTGGTTGTGGAGATACGCAAGGCAAACACAGAGGAACGCGTGCACTCAGGGGCGATTGATCACACAGACACACAGAAGTCACAGTTGTTCGTGAGGCAGGTGCAGCACAAGCGACAAACCAGAGCGTTTCCAGCGTGCGGTTCTGGTCCAGGGCGGCTCCCAGCGCCGCACCACCAACTGGAGTGATAGAGTTGCTGAACAAGCTGAAATTGGCAAACAGCCACGTTGGAAGAGAAGAGAAACGGGTAGGCAAGCCACACATGGATGAAAGTGGGTTGTAGATGGGCCATGTGTACGCGCTTGCACGTCAGGTTCAACGACTTGCAGTCACAATGTCAGACAATGCAAGTTGCACAAAATGTGGTAGCGCTTGTGGCGCAGTGCTGTACGGGAGCATTGTTGGTCAAACAAGCATGTCGCAGAGACATTGTGCGTGGCTCGGTCTGCACAGGGGTAAGTGGGTACTGCAGAAGCAACGCCTAAAGACGCAGTGTAAAGAGGTTCTTCCACTCACGTGAGTGCTTTGAGGGTCGTGTTGTGCTGCAGCTTCTCCGCCAATGCCACAGCGCCGTCATCACTGATGCCATTGCTTTGGAGGCTGTGCACACAGAAGAGAGATAGGTAGATAGACAGATAGACAGATAGACAGAGAGAGGACGAGAGTGGGAGGTTGATGACAACATGAGGAAGCGATGAGTGGGCCACAAGCACATATCAAGCAAGCAGACATTGAGTCTTGCACACCCACACAAGCATATACTCAAAGTGAGTGCCTTCAATGTATGTGTGCTCACACTCACTCGAGGGTTGTGAGGGTCGTGTTGTGCTTCAGCATCTCCGCCAACGCCACAGCCCCCTCATCGCTGATGTGGTTGATACTCAGGCTGAGGGCACAAGAGAGAAAGGGGGGGTGGGAGGTTCATGACCGCGTTCGTGGTGGTGAGGAGGAGCGACGAGTATATGACAAGCAGTTAGTGTTTGCACACGAGAGCACACACACACACACATACACACACACACACACAACCACACAACCACATGCTCAAAGCGAGCGTCAGTTCATGTGTGTGTCCACACTCACTAGAGGGTTTTGAGGGTTGTGTTGTGCTTCAGTACCTCCGCCAACGCCACGACGGCCGCGTCGCCTATGGAGTTGGCACTCAGGCTATGCATAGGAAAGGAGGAGTGAGGGTATGTGAGAGTGAGTGGGAGTGAGAGCAAGGAGTGGCAGGTTAGTGATAGCATCGGCGGGCAGTGAGGAAGCCATGAGTATATGACGAGCACATGGGACAGCAAACAGCTGTTGAGCTTGCACGCAAAACAACACAAACACAGACTCCAAGCAAGTGCCTTCAGGCATGCGTGTTCACTCACTTGAGTACTGTGATGGTCGTGTTGTGCTTCAGCATCTCCGCCAACGCTACAGCGCCCGCGTCGCCGATGGAGTTGTGGTGCAGGCTGTGCACACAAGAAAGAGAAGGAGGGAGTAGTATGTGGTGTATGACAGCATACGTGATGGTGAGGAAGCAATGAGTGGGCCACGAGGACATGGATCAGCAAGCAGATATCGAGTCTTGCACAAGTGCACACGCATACGCTCACATCGGGTGCCTTCAATGCATGTGTGTGTCCACACTCACCTGAGTAGTGTGAGGGTCGTGTTGAGCTTCAGCATCTCCGCCAACGCCACAGCGCCCCCAGGGCCGATGGAGTTGCCATTCAGGCTGTGCACACACAAGAGAGGAGGAGGGGATCGATGACAGCATACGGTGGTGAGGAGGAACGCGGTGTGGGTGACGAACACATGGGACGGCATACAGTCAGGGCCTGCATAAATGCACAAGCCCTACCACACAACCAGGTGTTCGAACTGGGTGCCTGCAATGCATGTGTGTGTTCACTCACAAGAGCTGTTCGAGGGTCGTGTTGTGTTTCAGCATCTCGGTCAATGCCACGGCGCCGGCGTCGCCAATGGAGTTGTTGTGCAGGCTGCACACACGAAAGGGCAGGGAGCAAAGGTGACCACACGCAAAGCGCGCCATGAAACGAGAGGCATGAATGAGAAGGGAGAGGGCGCAGAGAAGGGAAAGGGCGCAACGTGCAACTTCAAACCAATCAGCCATGTGTGTGACACGATGCAGTCCACATCACCCCGTACCGAAGGTCTTTGAGGCAGGTGTTGTCCTTGAGCGCTTCGGCCACTGCACGGCCTCCACTGTCGCCGAGGCCAACTTTCCTCAAGCTGCAGTTCCAAATTGTGTGTCGTGCGCAAGAGAATGAGAAGAGAGCAACCTGTCACGAATGTACACTCCCTTTGTGTGTCCAGGTTGTGCGAGCCCCCTTTGTACAATGTACACAAAGGCAAAATACAACAAGCTTGTCACAAGTGACGGACAAACGAAGTCGAGTGGAAGAAAAGGCACAACCACAAGCAATGTCCTTGATCCCTTTTCTCCAGCAAATGCAGCAAATGCATGCTCCAACATGTCGCTTGCGTTATCTCACCGCACAGAGTCCCTACACGTGTTGTTGGCGATGGCTCTAATACAGTCCTTGTCCCACTTCTTCGACTTCGTCTTCGCCAACAAGGCCTCCATGCTTTCACTCGAGGACATGCGTTCACGCTCTTCCCTTTGCCTTGCCTCTTCTTCTGCTCTCTGTCTTGCGTCCTCCTCCCTCTGTCTTGCCTCTTCTTCGTCCCTCGACCTGTCCTTCTTCGTCCCTCTCAACCTCGCAAACATCTTGGCCAGTGGTTGCAGCTGAGTTGTTGTTTTGGGGTGGAGGATGGATGCGGGGTCTCCTCCTCTCCTCCTTTTGCCTTGGTGGGCTTGTCCTGACGTACGTGCTTTCCTGTCTCTTGTTCTGCTGTGGCTGGAGGGCTGGAACGACGCAAAACAACACAACAAACAACCCCCCACACGCCTGCTTGCAGTGCTTGCTTCTTCTTCCCTTCTCTTCTTCTGCTTGCTGCTTGCTGTGTGTGTCTTTCTTGGGGCGTTTTCCTTTTCACAAACACCCCGCACCCCGCGAAAAGTACATCAAGACTTCCACCATTCCTCTCTCACCAGCCACGAAAACTCCCAGCTGTCCTTTCCTCCTTCTCCTTTGTTTGTTTTTCCCTCGCTTACTGTGAAGCAAACACAACAACCACCACTCTCAACAAACCAGCCAGCCATCCAGTGGTTGAGTTGATTGTGCTGCAGTGCCCTCCTCTCCTCTCCTCTCCTCCTCTCTCCCCTCCTCTCTGCTCTGCTCTGGTGAGAGCGCTGCTCCATGTCCAGTGCAGAAGTGCGTACCACTTCTTCTCTCTTCTTCTTTCTTCCTTCTCTCCCACTGACTGGCTGAGTTGACTGCATAACCCTCACCACCCACAGCACCATTTCCATTTCCCTTCCTTCCTTTTCCTTCCTTCCTTCCCCCCCCCCTCAGCCCGTGTTCCCTCCTTCCCTCTCCAACACTCACTCACATCTCTCTCAACCAACCAACAATCAGCCACCATTGCACTGCATGCGGCAGTGGCAACGCTGGCCGACGTGGTAACCAGAAGGAATGGCCAATCTCCTTCTCTTTGCTCTTTTGCTCGCCAACACAACAGCAGCAGCAGCAGCACGGGCTGAGAGCGACAAGGAGCAGAAGGAGACGGTTGTGTGAATCACATGAGAAGAACCATACAAGATCCTTCTTGACCCGCTGCCTCGACGACGATGTTGGATGCTCCCCCCTCTGACTGAAAGCAGGAAAGTGGTGCTGTCGCTGTTCGACATTGACGCCATGATTGTACTGGGAGACTGGGTGTAAAGCACTAAGTCGTTGTTGTCTGCGCTAAGAATGATAGCAAGCAGCTAAGCAGCGCAGTGACCAGGGTCTGCACATCTATCCACGCACGTAAGCACGCGTGTGTGTGTGTGTGTGGGGGGGGTGCTTTGGCAATTGCCACAAGTGGCTGCTCAGCTCCAGCGCTACTGTTGTCCTTGTTTTGTGCCCAGGGTACCAGGCCCATGTTGTGTCGAGCGAATGGCACCAGACTACCAAAGCGATGCAAGCACAGCCAAAGTCGCAGCCACTCGCCAGTATGTGTACACGGCTTGACGCCTTGCATATGTGTGCGTATTGATCTCTGTGCGTGGGCGTGTCTCTGTCCGTGATGTGTTGGCTCACAATGAGCCTGCGCCGCCTGCTCCTCCCTTTGAACTGTCAGCCGGTGGTATGCCGCGTTTCGTTTGACCTCGATGCGTTGTGCTTTTGATGTACAGAGCATCCTGAACGCTCATCTAATACACCGTTCGACAAGACATCCAAGCTAATGGAACCAGCGCGAGTGCACACACACACATCACAGCACACACACACACACAAACACAATCACAGCACGCGTACCAAGAAGCGTCGGCGTTACAGCTTCTGTATGGGTTGAAGACGCTTGTGTTTCCTTCTCTTGGCGTTGTGGTGAGGCATCAGCCTTCGTCAGCCCTCATCGTTGCCAGCAAACGGACCAGATCGGCGACGGACGACATGCCCTGTGTGTCCACTGTGGTGCCAAGGTGCTCGGATGCAAGCCGCAGCAGCAAGTCCCGCATAACTGCGTGCTGTCTTTGCATGCCACTGCCATTGTTCATCTTCTCCTGCTGCGTGAGTACTTCAGCGCGAACATCCTCCAGTCGTTGATAAAGGTCGTCGCGGTAGAGCTTGGCGGCTGTGCGATCGTGAGGAGGAGGACGGAGCTTTCTCGCCTCATTCCTGGCTGCGTCTGCTGCCGCTTCAATGCCACTGCCTTGCAAACCTTCGGGGCCGAATGTGTCCAGGAGCGCGGCGTCAAGGCGAAAGTGCAGTGGTATGAAGAGTACCTTGTCGAGCACGCCCGTGGTGTGCAGATCTTTGAGCTTGCCCTTGTTGTCGATGGAGGCCATGGGTGTGGTGCAGATGTCCACGAGGCGGCAGTGGTGGAGAAGTTGCTTGAGCCCATCAAAGTCGTCGTGGAAGCGAGACCCTCGAAGTGTGACGACGAGGCCATTATCGTGCACCTTGCCTTTGTCTTGCAACAGCTCGGCCGCTTCAGCCACGTATGTCAGGTCGCCGTCGAGAAGATTGCAGAACGCGAGGTTCAAGCACCTGACGCTCTTGTCGGGGATGTCCTGCAGCCAGCCCACAATGTCATCCTTGAGAGAAGAGATTTGCTTCTCTCCGGTGAGGTTGATCTTCGATGATGTGTAGCGGCTTGACAAGTCGAGCGTGTTCCACTTGGCCAACGTCTTGGTTGGTGCGAGCACTTGCCCTCGCCCTTGGTGCGTATCAATGTCAACTGGCTCATCTCCCTCCTCAGAATGTTGGAAGAAGAACAGCCGAGCCAGCTTGCGCAGATGCGTGTTTCGCGGGAATGGTTCCGCCAGCGTTTCAGGACCAGCGAAGGCAAAGTCTGCCATGCGGTAGAAGCTCAGGTATGGCTGCAAGGGCTTAAACTTGTCGGCATCTTTGCAGAGGTCCACGACCGCGGTCGTTGTCGTGGACATCTTCCTCTTCGTGTGTGCCGATGTGCAGGCTTGTGTGCTGCGTGTGGCAGGGGAATTTGTTGTCGAGCAAGCAAGCAAGACTGCTGTTGTTTCGCTTTCGGTTGTGTCGGAGTTGTAGTCGAGGTTTTGCTGTCGTACGTGTTCGTTGGCGGCAGGAAAGTCTTCACTAGGGAGAGAGAGAGCTGTGTAGGCAGGTCGCGCGCTAGTGGGCTGTTGTCATCTCAACAACAACACCGCGTGGTTGCCATCATTGGAGACACCAAGTACTGGGTACTAGCACTAAGGCACTAGGACAGTGCAGGTCACGACAGCACATGCTTGTTCCTCGCGCACTCACTTCTTCACTTCTTCCCCAGTCCAAGCAAGCGAGCAGGAGCCTTGTTTCTGTTGCATGAAGTGATCATGCTTGTTTGTTTGTCTGGTGCCAGCAGTGCCTTGAGGCCTGTGTGACAGCCACCGTAGCATAATAGAAGGGATATTCTTTGAAGGGGATGAAACAAAGGGAAAACACTCAAGCACACGTCAAGGGCAGCAGCCAGGCAGCCGTGTGGCAGCAGCTAGAACGCACCTTCAGACCTTCACTCCTGCAGGTTCACCCCAAGCCCAAGCCTGCCTTCAAGCCAAGCTGCTACGCTGACTGACCACATCACAGCAAGACAGCAAGAGAAGACAGCTCTCCAGTCACAAGAGTCAGAGAGTCACATGCCTACGTGGCATCATGATGGTGTGCCTTTGACGTGGGTTCTTTCCCCCTTGCGGTTGTGTGCGGTGATTGTGGTGGTTGGTGGTTGGTTGCTTGGTTTGCAGCACATTGGAGACCTGGGTGGATGCTTCTGAGAGGAGACAGCCTAGCCCTACGCTCGTACGGTTCACGAGTTCTGTTGCCCTGTGTTCATCCTCCTCGCCTCTTAAGCTCTTATTCTCTCACAAGTCACAAGAAGCAAGCAGAATGTTGGCGCGAGAACAACAAAGCCCGCTCCTTCTCCACCTGCAATTTTGAAATGGCCAATTTTCCACCACACAACAACAAGAAAACCCCGGTAGCCGCAAGGTTACGGGTTGAAGATACACAGAAAACCGGAGGCCGTGAGTTCGAATCTCACCGGGCCCTCACCTGATTGGGGCTCGTGGCTTAGTTGGTTATAGCGCCGGTCTAGTATCGCATTCATTTTTTTTCTCCTCGCTCTGTGTGTGTGTGTGTGTGTGTGTGTGTGTGTGTGTGTGTGTGTGTGTGTGTGTGTGTGTGTGTGCTGCTCTGCATCACTGTTCTTCCTCCAGCAACCCTGTCTCTAGTATCGCATTCATTTTTTTTCTCCACGCTCTGTGTGTGCTGCTTCGTGTGTGCTCCTCTTCACCACCACTGCGACTGCTTGCACAGCACAGCTAGTATCGCATACATTTTTTTTCTTTCTGAACGCTCTGTGTGTGCGTGTATGTGTGTGCTGCTCTGCACCACCACTGCGACTGCTTGCACAACACAGCTAGTATCGCATTCATTTTTTTCTCCTCGCTCTGTGTGTGTGTGTATGTGTGTGCTGCTCTGCACCACCACTGCGACTGCTTGCACAGCACAGCTAGTATCGCATTCATTTTTTTTCTGAACGCCCTGTGTGTGCGTGTATGTGTGTGCTGCTCTGCACCACCACTGCGACTGCTTGCACAGCACAGCTAGTATCGCATACATTTTTTTTCCACCCTCCGTGTGTGTGCATCACTGTTCTCACGCCACCGACTGCGACTGCTTGCACAGCACAGCATCCCTGTCCCTAGTATCGCATGCATTCAACATCCAACTTCCTGCGCAGCGAAGACTGTAAACTGAAAAGCCGGGTCGGTCACAGGGCCGACAGGAGGACAAGGGGGAGAGGAAGAGAGCTAGCGGAAGCAGAAGAAGCGCAAGCGCAAGCACAAGCACAAGGAACAGAAAGCGGAGAAGCAGAGAAGAAAGAAGAGCCGAAGCACTACCGAGCTGTAGAGCTGTGGCATCCTGCAGTGCACAGACTTCTAGACTTCCTGCTTGTGCACTGTGCCTCTGTGCATTCTTGCATTTGGCCATCTACGCGATGCGTGCTGCAGGCTACTGCGGTACTGCATGTGCTCACCCAGCCAACACCTCAACTCTTCAGCTTGCACCCTGCGACACTGCTGCATCCACACACACACACACAAGCACACACACACACACACACCCACACACACACCTACACACACACACCTACACACCCACACACACCTACACACACTCACCCTGTTCAGCATCCCCAGCGGCTACCCCCCTGCCTTCCACCGTGACCCTTCACACGTCCACCCTTAACCCTACTCCTCCCAATTCACACCACCACTCACAGACAGCTGGCATGCACGTCGTTCCTGTGCCCGTGTATCACTGCTGCACTTGCAAACAAAGCATGCCTGCATGCCA